ATTCTTTGAAAAGGTTACTGCTTATGTAGATGAGGGTAAGGATGTAGATTTGGTGTATCAGAAAGTATTTGACAAGGTGCCACTTAAAAGGCTTGTAAAAAAAAAATTAGCTCTATAGGTGTGGGGGATAAGTTAGCAAATTAGATAGAAGAGTGGCTGGATGGAAGAAAGCAGAGGGTTGATACAAATGGAGTTTAGCTGTAACGAGTAGCACCCTCGTGGGCTTAATTGTTGGAGTTTCAATTAAAAGTACTCGCTACACCAAATTTATTTATTTGGAGGATTTGTCATGACGAGTGGAGCCACAAGTCGCTAACTCGAGGTGATTTACAGTTAGAATAAAGAAATAGAGTCCCAGACCAGCATTTAACAATTATAACAACATTTATTAATCATTTATAGTCAATATCCAATACAAATCAAAACTTTGTGAAACCTTAAACACTTCTCAAACACTTAATCGTTATACACTTAAAAATTCCGTTAATACAGGCTTTTCAGCATTATACATAAATACACTTCTTCTTAGTTAACATAATATTCCTTTAAACTTACTTACACTAACTGATTAAGAGAGAAACCATAAACTATACTTACAACATAGTTGGGCTGGTAATTTTGCTAATATTAGAAATCTTCATAGCTTTGAGAATTTCTAGAGGAACTTTATGAATCCTGGAGGAACTGATTTTTCAGCCCCAGACATGGGTTTATAAACCAAAATTTCTTGGTATTATCTCGAACATCTAAATAGTACACAGCACTACCCACAACTAGTCCTGTCATCCAATTGGATGCTTTAGGGGGAATTTTTGGGCTAATCCAAAACTATAACCAGAACTCTCAAGTGATTGGTTACATTTAGGTTGAGTTAGCCGGTCATCTATTTACTTTTACTGCTACACCCAGGTCCTGTAAACGATGTCTCTTCAAAGTACCGCTTTTGCCTTTTAACTACAACTTTTTCGTAGCTTTCCTAGTTCTAAGGGGTTAGCATCAGTAATCCATCAACCTGTCATGGGTGCTCGTGCACTCATTTCATTTCTAGGCAACGTTTTTTACGTAACTAGGCCCCTGACCTTGTTTCCGAGTTCCTAGTCTTATTTCACAACACAGGTGTCTCCTAGTTGCCTTTTTTTATATGTCCATGTCTACTTAAACTTGAAGAACTGTTTTTGACTTATTTTTAAACTCTTTTTAATTAATAAAATCCTGAAAAATTATGAAGCAATTGTAAAATTTCCCCCAAAAAACCTAATTGCTTCACAGTCATAACTGTAGTACCTCAGGGCTCAGTCTTAGGACATTTGCTCTTTTGGATTTACATCAATGACATAGGTGAAGGGATAGTCAATCAATTACTTAAATTTGCAGATGATATTAAGGTCTTGGGTGTTACTAGCTGTGAAGAGGATGCTACTGATTTACAAAAGGATTTAGA